ACAGAAGAAGAGAAGACGTTCTCCAACTGGACAATGGAACAGCGAGATAAGGAAAAAAAAAAACATAAAAACATTGAACATCAGGTCACTTTTTAAGCACTTTAATCCTGGGACTAATTTAATCAACATGATAATCCATAATATTTGTCACTGTTAATTACTATTGACCATTAGATGTCATGTTTATTGGAGAATCCTTGGAAAACTGGGAATGCAGCCACCATTTGACCCAGCTATCCCACTGCTAAAACAGCATACTACAGGGACACAACCACATCAATGTTTACAGCAGCACAATTCACAATAGCTAAATTGTGGAACCAACCTAGATGCCCGTCCGTAGATGAATAATGGATAAAGAAAATGTGGTGTGTATATATATACATACATACATACAATGGAATATTATTCAGCATTAAAAGAGAATAAAATCACGGCATTTACAGGTAAATGGATGGAGCGGGAGAATATAATGCTAAGTGAAATTAGCCAATCCCAAAATAACAAATGCCGAATGATTTCTCTGATTTAAGGGTGCTAATTCATAATATGCTGTGGTGGTAGGGGAGGGGGTTAAATGAACTCTAAATAGGGCAAAGGGGAAAAGGGGAGGGCATAGGGGTAGAAAAGATGGTGGAATGTGATGGTCATCATTACCCTAAGTACATGTATGAAGACCCAAAGGATGTGACTCTACTTTGTGTACAACCAGAGATATGAAAAATTGTGCTCTCTATATGTAGTATGATTTGTAATGCATTCTGTTGTCATATATAACAAATTAAAATTAAATAAAAACAAAATCTAGAGAACAATAAAAAAGATACCATGTTTATTATTGATAATGTTAATTGTACTATAATGACTGATTTTATAGTTGAGTACATTGAGGCACAGAGAGGTTAAGAAACACACCCATCGTCACACTACTGGTAAGTGGCAGGGTTAGATTTTTAAACCCAGTAATCTGGTTTAAGAGTTCATTCTCTTCACCATTTCATTTAATAGCAGCCCTAGAGCACATCATAAAGCAAAATTCCATCTGAGTTTAATCTGCTTTGATTAAATGCAATACTTTTATATTTGGCACTGTCCTAAGTAGTTCATAATTTACAAAGGATTCTAGAACCTCAACCTGTCAGTTAGCACTCTATGACCTCAGGTTTGTCACTGCTAAGCTCCAGTTTTCCCACCTGTAAAGTGGGGACAATACTACCACTTGTGGATAGGGTTAAATGGGATACAACACATGCGGGATTTAGCCCCACACCCATCCCATAATGAACACTGAATAGGTGTTTGCTGCCACCGTTGTTATGGTTACTATTAATATTTCATTTGAGCTGCATAACAATCCCATGACTTAGGTAGGATTTATTATCCTCATTTTTCAGGTTCAGAAATTGAAACTCATAGCAGGTAAAAAACTAGCCCAAGGAACATGCCAGAAAATGAAAAGGCCAGACTTGGAAAATCTTCCAGCTTCAAGCCTTCTTCCCGGCTCCTAGCACTTAATCGCCACCCCCACCCCTTCCTTGGGAGGCACGGTTATATGAGCCAGATCATTTTTCACACAAGACTGCAGGCAAGTTTGAAGATATTGGAGGTCTAGGCTTGGGGAGAAAATCTTGAGGAGTATTAAGAAAGTCTTAAAGGTGCAAATAAGTTCCCTGTTTAGGGACAGGCAAGCAGCACCTCATTCCCAAGCAACAGCCAGAGGGAAGGAAGGACTGAGATTACACTCTGTGGTGATCTGTGTATCCTAGCCACCAATGCTTGGCCTCTGCTGGGTATCTTCAGGCTGGGAAGTAAAGAATCCTTTCCTTTGTCCAACAGGCAAAGGAGAGGATGTCTTTAAACACCATCTAACATAAATCAAACACCCTTTTAAATCTGTTTTGCACTTTAGGGTTAGGTAACACACCCAAGGTCACACTTGGTAAGTGGCAAGGCTAAGTACATATGGTGGGGTTTATTCCATTGGTTTTCTGTAATTCTGCATTTCAATGCACTTGTTGAAGCTTCTATTAGTACACTCAGTTCTGCTCCATGGTGCATTTAGTCCTGGGACTGAGACAAAAGGCCACTCAGTGATAAAGTCAGCCCAACTTTTAAGGTATAGATCTTAACCAATTTTTCTTTTTTAAAAATATTTTTTAGTAGTAGGTGAAAACAATATCTTTTATTTATTTATATGTGGTGCTGAGGATCTAACCCAGTGCCTCACACATGCTAGGCGAGCACACTACCACTAAGCCACAACCCCAGCCCCTTAACCAACTTTTTAAGCTCTTGTTTCTTCATCAGTACCCATAATAAGATTAGGAGACCCTGGAATTTGTCTAGCTCTGAAGCTATTCATCCCAGGCTGAAAATCATGTGCTTCTGCCCATATCCTTTATGCAAAGCCCTCAACAATATTTTTTCCTTTTAAGATCAAGTTCTTAAGTGCTGGGAATGGCATTGGCCAAATTATATTGTTATATTATGTATACCCATAAATATGTAACAAAAAATCCCATCATTGTGTAAGATTGTAATGCACCAATAAAGAATTTGTGTGGGGGGTGGGGGGGAGATTAAGTTCTTATTTTGTGTCCTTTAGTGGTAAGGTGTTAAAAAAAAAAAAAAAAAAAAAAAAACTCAACACATGCTACTTGCAAAGTTTCATCTCATTGGCATTCCAATTATTTATTCAGCAAATTATTATTGAACACCTTCTAAGTGCCAGGCCTTGTGCCCAGGCGGCCCTAAAATAATGGGCAAGAGATACTCCCCATACAGACAATGAAGGCTTCCTGGTAGTTATTTACTTATACCTTGTGTTAATGGCCAAAAGGCAGAGCCACCAACTACACTGGATTTCCCCCCATGGCCTCCAGGACATGGTTTGGGCCCTAGTAGCCATTTAATACTCTCACAGTTTAAGTTAATTAATCATCCAGTTAAAATGTACTTTTCTTTAATTAGATGATGTTCTACTTATGTCCACAAGGTGGAGATCTTGCTTATAGTTTCAGGCTGAAAGCGCGGTATGAAAAATACATTCCCAGTTGAAGTTAAACCAAAAGACAAAAAATTAAATTCAATTTACTGAGCACTTATTTAGTGTAGTATACTATGTTATGTGGTAAGAAAAAAAATGATAAGAGAGTCCCTACCCTCTAGGAAAACTTGAGAGAAGGGAGCTTGAACAAGGAAGGAATATAACATCTTTTAATGAATTAATATATTTGATGTATCCATAGGGGAGCTATTGTAATCCCTTCATCAGATAAGAGCCATAAAAAGGCATGACCGTGGTTCAGAACAGGTTCAACAAAGATCCATACTTCAGTCATATGTACTTACCACACCTGTCGAAACACTCAAAAGCATAGCACTAGGTCAGGGCTGGAAGGCCCAGATGTTATATGAGCATGAGACTCAGATCTGTGGACTTTACCTCTCCAGATATAGCTTTTTTGATGCCTATGATGAGCCACAAATATTAGAGTCTCTGTCCTACAACTCAAGAGCATTTATTCTTTGGAGAATAAAATATATATGCTGCCAGCTGATGAGGCAGTACAGTTGAAAGTTCCCCAAGAACACCTGATGGGGGAATGAAAAGAGGAAAAGAAACACTTGTAAGGAAACATTTTAAAACTTTGGCTTTCAGGAGGCGGATTCCACCCCCATAAACTCAACCAGGTGTCTAATTTGGGAATTTCTAAAGCGTAGATTCTGGATGCATTGGGATGATGCAAAGAGGGAAGGGAGAAGGCCAGTTTGCTTCTAAGAGAATTCCTGGTGGGTTGAACCCAAACTCCCTACCATTACTTTTCCCTTTAAATGATCAAAACTGGTAGGTCAAATGCAAACTGGTGTTCTTGTTTGGTTTTCATTTGTTTAACTGAAAATTATAGCCGGGGAATAAAGCGACAGATTAAAATGGCAGTGAGGTGAAATATAAAATAATATATATAATATAGAATAAGTTATATATACATATAATAAAGTTAAATGCATAATTTTCTTAAAGCAGAGAAAATCAAATGGCATACAGCCCAGAGACCTAGGTTTGCTTTTTAGTGTCTCCACTTTGCTAACTGTCAAATCCTGAGGAAGCCCCATCCCTTCTCAGTGCCTCAGTTCCCTAGTAGGCAAAGCAGTCTCATTTCTTCAGAGAAGCCATTCCTGACACCTCTCTCCCCAGCACGAAGGTGATATCCAGGTTATGAGGCGTTAATTCTCACTTAACGGAGACCCGGATCTGTGGACTTTACCGCTCCAGACCAGAACCGAGGACAATGGCTTTGTTGAGTGGATGCAGAAGTGAACGGGAACTGGCCTCGGTGATCTAGGTGCACCAAGAGGTTTGATTCCCGGAGTCCCTTGGAAAGGCAAAGCAGGCAACCTCAGAACTCTAGCCCGCAGTGACCGGTGGGGTGAGCGTGGGGTGAGAGAGGGGATGTCGGTTGAAAGTTGTGTGCTACAAAAAGATTCCTCTCCTGGCTGGAGTCACATACTCAGTGGCTCCGACAGATTCCCGGGAATTTACATAAGGCAGCGTGAATCATCCTGAAGAAAGCACAGGGACCCGCCCTGATCCTCGCCTGGCAGCGCCCGGGGCGCGGTGGGGGTCTGTGTTAAGTTTGTGGATCAGGCGCTGCCCCAAGCGAAGGGACTGGGCGTTCACCCTCCTCCCCCCCACCCCCCAGCCAGGGCACGGGGCGGGTCCCTCCAGCCCAGCAAAGAGTCAGGCTTAGCGCCGCCGGCTCCGACGCCCCCGCGCGGGCTCCGCCAACCCAGCTTCCTCCCGGCCCCTAAGACCCGACCAAGTGTGGGGCCACCTCTCCCTCCTGGAAGGATCCATCGCCGCTTTAAGGGGAAGAAGAGAGGAAGGGGCGGGGGAGCGGGGGGCGGGGAGCGGCGGCGGAGGAGGGGGAGGGGGATCCCCCTCGCTCCCACGTGGTCCGGGCGCCTGTGAATCGCGCCCGCCGGAGGGTCTCACAGCGAAATACAAAAGCAGCTGGGAAGCAGCGGCGAGGCGAGTTCCCAGCGCAGGGCAGAGCGCCGGACAGAGCCCCGCAGCGCCCCGCGGCCGCGATGGGGCTCAGGCGCCCAAAGCCCCGGAGCCAACAAGCTGCCGGGCCCGCCTCGCCGCCCCGACCCGGGCGCCGGGGCTCGGCTTGAAGCGGCGGCGGCGGCGGCACCGGCGCGGCCGCGGGAGCATGGGGAGGAGGATGCGGAGCGCCGCCGCCACCGCGGGGCTCTGGCTGCTGGCGCTGGGCTCGCTGCTAGCGCTGTGGGGCGGGCTCCTGCCGCCGCGGACTGAGCTGCCAGACTCCCGGCCGCCCGAAGACGGACTCCCCCAGCGTCCGGCCCGGAGAGGCGGCCCCGCGCCGGTGCCTCGCTTTCCTCTGCCCCCGCCCCTGGCGTGGGACGCCCGCGGTGGCTCCCTGAAAACTTTCAGGGCGCTGCTCACCCTGGCGGCCGGCGCGGACGGCCCGCCCCGGCGGCACCCTGGCGAGCGCAGGCGGCACGTGCCCGCTGGGCGGCCCGGGCTGGCGGAGCGCGCAGCGGTGCACGAGGGTGTCTTCTGGAGCCGTGGCCTGGAGGAGCAGGTGCCCCGGGGCTTTTCCGAGGCCCAAGCGGCGGCGTGGTTGGAGGCTGCGCGCGGCGCCCGGGTGGTGGCCCTGGAGCGCGGGGGCTGCGGACGCAGTTCGAACAGACTGGCGCGTTTTGCCGACGGCACCCGAGCCTGCGTGCGCTACGGCATAAACCCCGAGCAGATCCAGGGCGAGGCCCTGTCCTACTACCTGGCGCGCCTTCTGGGCCTCCAGAGCCACGTGCCACCGCTGGCACTAGCTCGGGTGGAGGCTCGGGGCGCTCAGTGGGCGCAGGTGCAGGAGGAACTGCGCGCCGCGCACTGGGCGGAGGGCAGCGTGGTGAGCCTGACTCGCTGGCTGCCCAACCTCACAGACGTGGTGGTGCCAGCGCCCTGGCGCTCAGAGGACGGCCGTCTGCGGCCCCTGCGCGACGCGGGGGGCGAGCTGGCCAACCTCAGCCAAGCGGAGCTGGTGGACCTGGTGCAATGGACCGACCTGATCCTCTTCGACTACCTGACGGCCAACTTCGACCGACTTGTAAGCAACCTCTTCAGCCTGCAATGGGACCCACGCGTTATGCAGCGCGCCACGAGCAACCTGCACCGCGGTCCTGGAGGGGCGCTGGTCTTTCTGGACAATGAGGCGGGCTTAGTACATGGCTACCGGGTGGCAGGCATGTGGGACAAGTATAACGAACCGCTGTTGCAGTCGGTGTGTGTGTTCCGCGAGCGGACCGCGAGGCGCGTCCTGGAGCTGCACCGCGGTCAGGACGCGGCGGCCCGGCTACTGCGCCTCTACCGGCGCCACGAGCCTCGCTTCCCGGAGCTGGCAGCGCTTGCCGACCCCCACGCTCAGCTACTGCAGCGCCGCCTCGACTTCCTCGCCAAGCACATTTTGCACTGCAAGGCCAAGTACGGCCGCCGGCCGGGGACTTAGCGTCACCCTGAGGAAGAGAGGAACAACCGGGACTGGGGTGTGGATGAATGGGGGAAGGGCTGTCGCCCCTGCCACCGCCTGGGACCAGCTGGGCCAACGCCCAGGCAGTGACCTGAGCGCAAAGGTGTTTAAAAACTAATGCTTCACCCATCTGCCCTCTTTTTTTTTTTTTTTTTTAATCCCTCGCTTTTTTCCTTTCAAAGTTCTAAGAGGGCGAACTCACCGAGGCGAGAAGTGTAACATTCCCTCCACCCAGCTTATAAAAGGATTCTTTCCTGTGCCGGAGCGGAGACTAGATCCGAAGAAACTGGCTGCTGGGGTTTGTTCCCCGGGTGACGGTCTCTGTGGGAGATGAACCCCATTCTTGGACATCCCCCCCTCCCTTTCCAAAAAAGGAAAACTTCCGTTTGAGCGGTTGAGCTAATTCTTCAATTTCCTACCAAACGCTGTGCTGGTGGCCCCGGAGCAAGGCTGTGACATTGGCTGGTGGAGCCCCCTTCCTGTGTTCTGCCTTTGTTCCAGCGCAGCGATGGTGAGATCACTGTTCAGAGAAGGGGGACAGCTCCCTCCCGATAGGACAAAGAGAGCAAGACCTCCACACCCTGGGGAGTCCTGGAGACCCTGACAATTTGTCTGACTCATTTCTGAAATCTGTTTTGGCCTGAAGGCTATGAATGCACTGAGTCAAATACGAATTGCTTCTTCCTGCCCCTCCCAACTGACCAAAATTTTGACAATGACGATGTTCACCAGAAGAAAAAACAGTTCCATGCACTTTACTTTGTTTTATTTTAATTTTTTATTAAGAAAAACTTTTTTTTATTTGATAGAATTTGCCTTCTATGTATATATGTGCATAAATTGTGGTGTAAATATACTAAACAAACTTATATTTCAATAAAAGGGAGTTTAAAATTTAGAATTTTAATTTCTGTGGTTTTATATGTTTGAGGTATCTGATGCCCCATCTGCTTTCAGAATAAGCTTTAAGCTATTTCCCTTGTGGATGTGCTTTTAAAACAAAGGATGCATATCCACTCCATTTGTGACTGAAACTTACAGAATTCAACAAAGACAAGAGCTCATTCTCTCTCCTCACTCAGATGAACCCAGTGCTGGAATTTTGAGTTCAGGGAGAGGTTGGGAGAGAGATGAAGGAAAGGTGTTCTATTTCCTAGTAAATAAAACTGATATGAAAGGATTTCACTGTAATATATTCCTATATGAATCGATTGGTAAACATGATAGAACCAGATGTGTGAACTAAAATATGGCAAATGCCCCCTTCTTAAACTTAACCAGTCACATGCTGCACATTATTTTCAGCGTTGTAATTACTGTGCATCACAACGTGTTCAGATAATAAGCTGAGCACATATTGCAAACAGGTAGAGAAAGTCATAAATTAATTCTTCTCTTTAATCTCCTGGCATAAATTCCATTGCATTCAGGAGACCATAATCTTCAACATCTGGACCCATCCCGTTCTTAAAGAGGTTGTGCTGATTTCCTGGTACTTACTATAGGGTCCCTTCAGAGCAGCCATTGTAAGGTTAAGAAACTGCACAGTACTTCGTACCTGACATTTGGATCCTTGCTTTTAGGAGACTGCAAACTTAAGAGAATGTTTTTGGATTGTTTGACCTATGGGGGAGAGGATTAGGTTTTGTTTGTTCTATAACCTATTGGTGTTCTATTTTGGCATTTTATTTGGTTTCTGGACCCAAGTGATCTTGCCTATTATCTTCTTTTTGTTAAATGACTTAACTCAAAGGAACTTTTAGTTACAACTTTGTTTTTTATTTGACTGGAATTTGTAAATTTAGAGTTTTATAGATTCACAAAGATATTAAATTTCTGGAGGGGTCCCCTTCTCTGTGCTATAACTGAGTATATAATTTAACTATTTAATATTACCCTATGTTTTCAGTGCCTTGTGCTAAGCTAAATTTTAGCTGAAGGGAAAAAAAAAAAACCTAGTCCCTAAGCTACTGTGTAAGGAAATTTTTTCCCCCCACAGGATAGTCACAGAATGTACTGATAATGGCAAATATATCTTATTTAAGACATTATGAGACCTCTGATAATTACACCTTTCAAAAAGAAACACTTTCCATTTCTGATGATTAATAACTATGAGATTTGCTGCCTACATTAATAGAGGCTGCTCCAAGAAAAAAGAAATTTTCAGCAACCTGTGTTTTTACCCAACACATTCATCGAGGAAAACAATGAGCAGAAATAAGTTAGAAGTTTCACATGTTGCACAGGAAAGGCACCTCATACAGCTCCAGCTCTGGTGAGTTCTGGACCAGCAGCATTCTCTACATTCTTCCTATCCTTCAGTTCCAAGCCCAGACTTGACCATGGTTAACCATGAACAAGAAACAGCATAATTTGAAAAAACTCCTCTCAGATTCTTTAGTGAACCATATCTGCCTGTTGGAGAAATAAGTTTAATTACATGGTGGAGTTGTTAAGGGAACCAAGACCTAATTACAAAGAAGGGTTTTTAACTATTGCTATTCCTTGTGGATAATAGGTAGGCTGTGGCATGGAAAGATCAATTAAAGTTTGCCATGGTCAGTGAATGCTGTTGGGGACAAATCATTTTTCAAAGAAAAAAAAAAAAAACCCAAATCTTTCAGGCTGCAGCATGAATTGTGAAGAGTAATGGGTTCTGCAGGCGGATTATATTCTGAATTCTGTCCCTCACGTATTTACCTTCAGCAGGTCATTTAACTTAGTTCCCTCATCTGTGAAATGTAGATTCGATCAGAGTATTGTGGGATTTAAATGTTAATATATAAAACATACAAGAGCATAATAGATGCATAAAAAAAGAACCACTTCAGATTCCTCTTTAAATTCTTGCTCTTCTTACAGTTCAATAAACTTCTACTAATGTTCTTCATCAAAACCAAATCTAGCTGTTTCTAAGACCAGAATCAGCTTTAGACCTATATTAATAAATTAATCCAATAAAGTATTTATTAAGGACCTTCTTCCCGAATTATGGAAGGGACTGGTTCATTAAGCCAAGGGAACAGGTTTGATTTCCACACTGGCTTACGTGGGTGGTTTCAGAACCCAACCAGACCCCAAGCACTGGGCAGCTATACTGCAAATATATGAGGGAGATTTAAGAGAGAGAGAGAGAGAAGGAAAAAAAAGGAGATGGTTCCTTGCAAATCCATCACCACTTCTGGAAAGCATCAAAAAGTGATGAATCTTTGCAAGAACAATCCTCTTCCTAATTCCTTCTGCCAAGAGAAAGTAGGCAGTTGACCTTTTCTCCCTGGATTTGACTGTTGATTAATTCCCTCTGTCAATGACACAGTTCTAAACTCTATTAAACATGCTCACCCTCCTGTCTTCAAATCAGAAAGAAAAACAAATTATTTTAACACATCTCAACACTTTTCAACCTTCTGGCTACAACTGCTGCTAGGCAAGTCCTCTAAAACCTAGAGGTTGATTATATGGATTAAATGAGTAAATATTTATAATTATTCTCAAAATAGTGCCTGGCTCATGGTAGATACAATATAAATATTTATTGGTGGGACAGATCATTTCTCCCCTAAGTCAAAACCAGAGGCACCTGGAGTTCCAGGCAGGATCCTCTTTCACAATCCAGCTCTATCACTGCCGTTATAGAACACTTTCTCCAGGCTTCTGTTTTGGCTCAGGAAGACCAGCCAGAGTGTGTGGATCTGGCAAGAATTACCTAGATCCTAAAGTTGTCAGCTGGTTGTCTTGTTTCTGAAAATGCCCTTTATGGGAGTTGTCTACGTACCACCCTCTTTTTCACAGGGAGGTTGTAATTCTCATTCTCATGAAGTTCAACAGATTCAGGGAGCAGCGAGCTATGGAATTTTGCAACCTCCTGAGCCATTGTGAGTTATCCATGAGTCACGGATCATCCAAACCTGGGCACTGATCATTTGCTCCCTCTACACACTTGTTCCATTCCACAGAACCACTGATTCCAAAATGGTAGAAGGGTGGTAGGAGCACTAGAGAAGGAGGAAAGGGAGCCCAGTAGATTCGGAAGGACAGGAAATGCTCCAAAATAGAATAGAATACTACTGCCAATGTGGTAAAGAAACCCCCAAGGCAAGGGTAGACATCCACCTCCAAGCTTATTGTGAAGAATAGAGTATGGTGGAAAGGATACTGGGAGCCCGAGACCCAGGCTACTTCTGACTAATTATATGATGCAAAAGTCATTCACTTCCCTTCTCTGGCTCCAGTTGTCCCACCTGGGAAAGGAAGGTGTTTGATTAGATTGGTAATTTCCAATTTTTAGGCCAGAACCCACAGTAAGAAACATACTTTACATTGTAACCCAGGACATGCACACTCACATAATTGAAACAAATGTGTGTGTTACACACTTGTTCTTTTATCCAATTTTACTCTATTCCAACTCTTCCTCTACTTCCTAATGCTAATGGTGACCCTACAAATTGACTAATAATTCATCAGTGGGGCACAGCCTATATTATGCAAAACACTGGGTCAGATAATCAGCGAGCTCCCTTCCAGCTCTCAGGCTCTAGGGAAATTCCATTTACAACCAGTTTACCACCCACGACAATTTTTCTCTGAAGAGACTACAAACAGGGTTCGATTTTGTATACTCTAAAAACAAGACTAAAGTGTGTTATTCAAAATGTAATTGGGAGAATCTATAAGCTGGTACTGGAAAATAGTCTTTTTACAAATACTCTAAAAATACCTTAAATATGGGAAGTAACGTTCAGTCTGTTCCAACCACATGTGGGCAACTAATGCTTTATAGTAAAATAATAATAATAATTCTTTGTATCTCAGCTTCAACACAGCCCAAGGACGACTCAAGAGGACAGTTTCTTTTCTGTGTATTCATAAAGATCAGACGTAAGAGTCATAATTTTTTAATGTGACTGTTTTACCAGTTTCTCTTTCTGTGTCCTGCTGTGGGGGAAACTGCATTAATAAACTATGTCTCAATGCTGCCTAGCTGGAATTCTTCTCTCTGCAGGATTCCACCAAATATAGCAAATGAATGCTTATTTTATTTATCTTTTCACATTATTTCCATTTTGGATATGTCTTCTTGAGATTTTTGGAATTTTTCTCTAATGGCACTTTATTATTATTTTTTAGGAGAACAGAGGACTAATTGTTCATTGAGTAACAACAAACACAAAAAAAGAACTCCGTTTTCCCCTTTCTTGGGTGCCATATGGTATCCTTTATGGTTTTCACAGTTATTTTACACCCTCTGCAGAAAAGTTAAGTAGCTTATAGAAACTGGCATTTTTCCAGTACCAGCTTATAGATTTTAATTTGCTGAGAAATTGTGGGTTAATAATAGAGACGTGTCACTGTTAATTTGATGGTGCCATGTCATGCATTTGTTTCTGCCTGTTTTTACACCTTTCTTACAATGACTTCTTAAAAATGTGTTCCATTAAAGACCCTATCCCCATTCCACAAATGGCCTGGAGAGTTAAGTAAGAGAATACCACAGCTACTATGATCCTTTTATTTTTTTTTAAGTTGGGTAAAATAGATGTAACACAAAATTTATTTTTTTAATCTTTTTAAGTGTAGGATTCAGTGGCATTAAGGATACTCACAATGTTGGGCAATAATACCACTGGATATCCAAACTTTGTTATCATTCCCCCAAAATACTCTCATCAGTAAGTAATAACTCCCCATCTCTCCCTCCCCTAGCCTCTAATCTGTTTTCGGTCTCTATAAAATTGCCCATTCTGGATATTGCATTTCAGTGGAATCACACAGTATGTGTCCTTTCGTGTCTAGTTTCTCTGCCTTCCGTGGCCGTGGACTGGTCAAGGAGCCACATGGAGGAGGGAAAAGCAATATTGTTTGGAAACTGGCAGAACTGAATTTGAATCTGATTTCCAC